GTGAAGATCAAGGCTTGTGAACATGAGACTGCTCCTGTCTGTCTGGTAAAAATGGGATAACACATGGAGATATGAAAATATCTAAAACTTGTGAACATTTTGTAGAATAATTTACTTGCTGCTTCTAAAGAAATTGATTTCATGTGCACATGAACCTTAGGGCACTGCTTTATCATAGAAAACTAGTTAAAATTAGATGCATGGAAGTCATAATGGTGAGACTACACTGGGGTGAATGAGAAAAGAGATGTTCATCAGATTTTCCATCAGGTAACCCCAGCTTTATATCTTCACATCAAGACAGAGAGAAGCACTGCAGGAAAAGGCTTTGGAAGCCTTAGGGAGAGAAATAAAATGTGTATCAGAAGGCAGTTAAAGAAAAGAAAAAAGAAAAGAAAAGAAAAAAAAGAGAAAAAAGAAAAAAGAGAAAAAAGAGAAAAAAGAAAAAAAGAAAAAGAAAAGAAAAGAAAAAAGAAAAAAGAAAAGAAAAGAAAAGAAAAGAAAAGAAAAAAGAAAAAAGAAAAAAGAAAAAAGAAAAAAAAGAAAAGAAAAGAAAAGAAAAGGCAGACAGGAAGGGAGGCAGGGGGGAAGGGGGGAAGGAAGGAAGGAAGGAGGGAAGGAAGGGAGGGAGGAAGGGAAGGAAGGAGGGAGGGAGGGAAGGGAGGAAGGAAGGGAAAGAGATTCACCAGATCTTCTGGAAGAAATCACCAGAGGACTCCTTATGGCTCAGGACTTCAATTATTTCTAAGGGGGGGTGCTCAGCAGCTCTGCTTAGCAGGAGACTGGCCCATTGCCAGCCCTGCCAGGACAGCAGGTCTCTGCACAGCTCATTCGTCATGCAGAACTGTTCACCAAGGACTGACTATAGTGAGAGAGACAGTCTTTTCTGCCAAAATACTGCCATAGGGTGTCAAATCCAGGTACAATGAGCTCATTCTAATGCTTCTGGTACTCTGAGCTAGAAGAAAATAAAGAAACATCAAGCACCAAACTGCAATAGTCAAAAGTACTGCCAAACAAAAGAAAATAGATTTGGGAATCATTTGGAACAAATGCACACAAAAAAATCGTTAGACCTGTAGCATATAATGATATTCTAATGGCAAAATGAGAGAACTACAAGCAAGAGCTTGAGTGTATTTTGATAGGGCACTCTATACAATTTAGCTAAAGACTGGGAAAAGTATCATTGCCAGGAACCTGAAGAAGTAAAAAATACTTCAAAAATAAGAGGTTTGGAACCCAGAAGTATGTTTCTGGACATTCAGGTCTGAGTTGATAGCAGTCTACAATGAAAAACCAGAAAAGCACACACACAAAAAAGTTATTCTTAAAGTAGACAAAGGTGATATGATATTGTAAGAGGGAAATGGGAAGCAGGAGGTGCAATTCAGAACAAAGCAAAAGCAGTATTTCTGATACTCATAAAAATGTTTTCTTTAAAGAAAAGCACAGAAAAAGGAAGCCAAGAATAAAATCTCCTTCAGAGAAAAATTAGCTTCACATGAGAAATGAATGTGTCTGTACTTGGTTTATAAAATATGTATTGATGTCTGTAATCACATTTTTGCCCTTCAATTATATTTTGTAATTACTAATTTCTGAGGTCTAGTAGCAACACTGGCTTGTTGAATGCAGGCTGGTTTGTATACTCTGTGTATCCAAACTCTTCTGGCGCCAATACAGCTCCACAGAAGCTATGCCAGTCTAACAAAGAGGAAATTTGGTTCTTTTTCTTGGAAGCAATTTCTTCAGCACTTACATATTATTTGGGATCCTTTCCATTTGTTATCTTTTAAGTGAGAAACCAAAACAGAACACATTGCCCTGGAAATCTCATGTAACTTTAAATTTAATTTAAGTTTGAATGTTCATCTAGTGAACTGCCTTCATTTAACAGCCAGCTATTGTTAACATGATAATCAGTGTGAAAGGATATTATTGCCCTCACAAATGCAACAGTAACTGAATCCAAGAAGAGAAAACCAAAACAACCAAGCAAAAGAAAAAACAATGAGAAAGGAGAAAGAGGAGAGGAGAGGCAAGGCAAGGAGAGAATGAGACAAAACAGAAGAATATAGTGAAGAAAGTGTAAAACTCTTCCCCTCACAGCAAAAATGTCTGGTAAACTGAACACCTTTCAGATCATTGAATACCAGTTGGAAGGGACCTCGAGGATCACCTTGCCCAACCTTTTTTAGCAAAGCATGACTTAGACTAGATGACCCAGCATACTGTCCAGCTTCATCTTAAAAGTGCCCAGTGTATTTACAGGTATGCCCTAAAGCCTGCTGTGGTGAACTGGAGTCTTCCTGGGCAACGGATCAATCCCTGTGGTCAAATTCTGCCCCTGAGTGAAGTGGCTGAGGGTAAATGCACCAAGAAATCTGTCCCACCCCTGGGGCAGGAAGGAAAGGGTGTAGGGAAACATGGCCCCAGAAGTTACCTCCTCCAAGCTGGCTAGCAGTGGGTGGCCTTAAGCAGGCTACCATGACCTCTGAAGGCAATGTACAGCTCAAGTGACAACATTAATGTTCTTAAATACCTACTGCATTGCTCAGAGGTACCTTCTGCCTTTTAGTATGTTGGACCTCCATCTCCTCCATTTTATTCTCACCTGGAATCTGACACCTTTGAGTGCCCAGCTCAAACAGTTCAGGTTAGCATTTCAGCTCTAGTTGCTTCCTCACCCCCACTCATGCATGACACTAACTATTTGTAGTATCTTTTAGACCTGTATATGTCAAACAGACTCGATTAAAGTAACTTAAAGTGCCCACTAAACCATTTTATTAGGGATGGAACTATAAATAGAGTAACACTGGAAAGTTGTTGGTATATATAAACCCACCAACTTGCAGCTAAATTACCTTCATTATTAAGCACTTTCTCTGCTGACAAGGTAATTTTAATATATATTGTATTATATAGAGGTGCTGACTGAATTATTAAAAGATACCTTAAGAAAGAAGCAATTTGTATTAAAAGTCTAAGGCAGTAAAAATCATAGGGATTGTAATGAGAATGAAATTAATATGGGGTTACAAAAGGAACAGAAATAAAAGTACAGCTATACCACTGTAACAGAGATTGCGGAGCAAATGTGTATTATTTAAGAACCATTATGTGATGATGTAATTAAAGACTCTTGTAATGTGTAATAACAGGCAAAATAACAAACCAAATTAGTTTTAAGTGCACTCTTCACCTTCCAAAGTTTGAGTCTGGTGTGCTCAGCACTCTGAATAATACAGTAATGCACACTGAAGTCTTTTCTTGAAATCTGGGGTATGCATCAGCAAAAGGTAATTTCTAAAATGCAACTTTATACTTCCCATGTACATTGAAGAGTTAGAAGGCATATTTTTCAGCTGTCTATATGACTTCTTCATTAATGAAGTTGACATGACATGAAGGAGCTATATTTAGGCACATAATGTAAAACTGCCCTATCGTAATCTCACTGTCATTCTTATGAAGATACTCGAGCAAGGTGGTTGAACTATCTCACTGCTCTATTTCGGGGGGGGGGGGGGAGGAGGGGAAGGGCATGCTTATAATATATTCCAGAGGCGAAAAAAAAACACCATTCCCCCAAAATCCTGAAAGGGGTGAAACGGCTGCTCATCCCGTTCGTTTGGAAACGCAGGGGGACAGAGAGGGGGCCAAAGGGCAAACGGCCCCCCCATCCGCATGCCGAACCCTGTGTCCGGCACTGGGCATCGCGAACCGGGTAACTCCCGGGGGTAGGAGGCTGGTGGCCTTCAGGGCCCGGGTAGCCACCGTACACCTGCGTCCCCTGCCGGGCTCCGAGGGCAGCGGGGAATGCTCCGGGATACTCGCCGGGACCGCTCCGCCCTGGACGGATTCCTCCAGCCACTGCCGCTCGCCGCCGAAGTTGGAAGCGGCAGGCGGGGCCACCTCCGCTGCTGAAATACCGGGATGATGAGCTCAAAGGGGCGGCAGCGATTCGGGAGCAGCCGGAGCGGCGGAGAAAGGGGTGGGGGGCGGTGAAAGGCATCGTGAGTTCGCCTAGTGAATTTTATGCCTAAACCGCGATTTCCCCGGGTGTCTCCTCACTTTCCCCCGAACGCCTCTTAAGACAGTGAGTCACGGCGCAACTCCTGAATTCCACCTCGCAGTCGCGTTTCACAAAGTTGAGGGAACTACAGCAGCGTTTCCTGCGGGACAGCGCGGCAGCGGCCGCCCGCCCTGAGCGGGTCGTGCCTCCGGGCGGGGCGTTTCGGCTAAGCATCACCACCGCTACCGGTCCTGTCAGCGCGGCGGGGCTGCGGCGGCTCCCTCGAGCCGAGGGTCCCCTCTCTCAGAGAGAAGCCCGAGGGCGGGTGGCCGTGAAAGGGGACCACCGCCCTCCTCGCCGCCCCGTCCGCATCCCCTCGCGTCCCGCCTCTCCACTCCGGTCCGGTCCGGGCAGACTCACCCCAAAAAGCGTCGAGGACACCGGGAGGCGGCAGCGCCGCGCCCCTCCCGCGGCGCCGGCCCCGGGGGGCGCCGGCCGCACCCCGCCTCTCCCCGCCGACCCGCTCCCTCGCCCCGCGAAGCCGTCGCTGCCCTGTCGCCGCCGCGCCCACCTCTCTAGGCCGGGCCGCCAAACCACCGCCTCCCCCCACCGTCACCGGGCCGCACCGGTCCTTCCCGCCCTGGGGCCGAGCGCCCCCTTCCCCGCCCCTGCGCCAGTGCCGGTGCCGGTGCCGGGCGGGGGGCGGCGGCAGCGAGGGAAGAGGGATGAGGTCATCCTCTTTCCCGGCGTCAGTCAGCTGGGTGGTGGCGGCGGTGGGTGCGGGAGGAGGCGGGCGGGGAGGCGGAGGGAGGCGGGATGCGCTGCTCCGGGCAGCGTTGCCCTGCCTGCTCCCGGTTCGGGCAGAGCGCGGCGGCGGCCCCGGCACCGCCGGCCCCCGCGGAGGCGGCGGTGGGGCGGGAGGGCTGAGCGCAGCTCCCCGCAGGCAGGCGGCGCTGCGGGAGCGGCCGCCGCGAAGGAGCCGCCCGCGGGCGCGCAGCCCGGCGCGAAGCGTGGACAGGGGACGCGGAGAGCGGCTGGTCCGCGGCGGAGGGCGGGAGGCAGGAGGCGAAGGAGGAGGAGCAGGGGGAGGCGCGGGATAAAGGAGCGCTCACTGCTCCCGCTTGCTCTCCGGCGGGGCTGAGGGAAGCATCATGGCCGCGAAGTCGGACGGGCGGCGGAAGATGAAGAAGGGCGGCGAGGTGGCGTTCACGCCGCTGCAGAACTCCGAGCACTCGGGTTCCGTGCAGGCTCTGGCCCCGGGGCTGCCCTCCGGCGCCGGGCCGGGAGGCGGCAGCGACGACGACGAGGCGCCCGGGGGCGGGTGCTGCAGCGGCAGCGGCGGGGACGGCTCGGGCGGCGGCTCCCGCTGCTGCTGCTGCTGCTGCTGCGGCGGCAGAGGTGGAGACGGCGGTGGGGGTGGCGGCGGGGGCTCCCGGGGCTCGGGCGGGGGCTCGTCCTCCTTGTGCCTGCGGCTGGGCAGGGAGCAGCGGCGCTACTCGCTGTGGGACTGCCTCTGGATCCTGGCCGCTCTGGCCGTGTACTTCGCGGACGTGGGCACTGACATCTGGCTGGCGGTCGACTACTACCTGCGGGGCCAGCGCTGGTGGTTCGGGCTCACTCTCTTCTTCGTGCTGCTGGGGTCCCTCTCCGTGCAGGTCTTCAGCTTCCGCTGGTTCGCTCACGACTTCAGCACCGAGGACAGCGCCGCCACCGCCCCCGGGCACTGCCCTGCCGCCGAGAGCAAGCTGCTGGTGAGCAGCAGCTCGGCGGCCGCGGACATCGACGCCGCCCGGCCCTGCACGCCGCAGCGGCAGGCGTCCACCGCCAGCAAGAGCAACGCCACCAACAGCAGTACCAACAGCAGCAGCAACGCCGCCGGCAGCGGAGCCGCCGGTCCCCGAGCCGGCAGCGGCAGGTCGGCGTCCTGCGCCTTCTGCATCTGGCTCCTGCAGTCGCTCGTCCACATCCTGCAGCTCGGGCAGGTCTGGAGGTGAGGAGCCGGCCGGGGGGCCTGGGCCCCTCGCCGCGGGGAAGGGGACCGCGGCCGAAGGAGGGGCTGCGAGCTGTGGCCGCCGGTCCCCTCGGGGTCCCTCCTCGGGACAGCGCTCGCCGGGACGGGACTCGGGGGTTTCCGGGTCCCCGCGGTACCGGTGGTGGCCCCGGGCGCGGAGTATTCCGCCCCGTCGAGGGGGGCCCCGCCGCGTCTCCGAAGGCACTATGCCGCGCGGGGGACCGCCTCCCCGGGAGGGGCCCGAAACTTCCTGGGAAACCTGCGCGGGGAAGTAAAGAAAGGGAGCAGGCGGGGGAAAAGGGGAAAACCTTGTGCGTCCCCCGGTCTCCTCACATGTGGCCAGCACAGACTTGCCGCCAGCGGGGAACTTCACTGACAATGAAGAGTTTACTTCCAGAAACTGTTAATGAACAGCCGTTGCTGTGTTCCGTTGTACACAGCTGCCTGTAAATATGCTCCTTGCTATGCGTGAGCTTTTTGTCTGTGAGGTATAGTAAGGAAATGACTTCTATATGAACTTTTGAGTAGCTGCACTCGAAAGCATCCACAAGCGATGTAATATGTGCTATGGAAAGGATGTGCTGATGTAGGCTGTGGAGGGCACTTACTGAAAAGGGAGGTGACGTCACAGTTTACAAAAGTAATGTTTTCCTGTATTTTAAGCATATTTCCAGGAAAGATTCATAGGCTGAATGCCCTGCAAATACATTTAGTGCTGCCTGAAAAGTGCAGAGTTCAGAATGCACAATATATACCGAGTTAAATTATCTATATAAGATAGTGGAATAGATGCTATGTTGAAGAAGGTCGTAGAGTGGGACAGTGTGCTAAGGTAACATCTGAAAATACTTCAGGTTTTCTTGTCTGATGTGTGGAAAGGAATTCTCTCATGCTTCTGTTTTGGAAACTTTTCCCTCCCTCCCTTCTCCCCCCTCCAATTAGTTCATAGGAGTTTAATTTGTTGTTACTCTCTACTTTTAACTCTGGTGTTTTTAATCTCTGTCCCACTGTTTTGGATAGGGCCTGGCTTTTGCTCAGTTAGCGCAGTCTCCAGTACAGCTCAGTTCTGCTTGTGGACTTTAAACACCAAGTAATCCAAGTGCTGCTAGATAATAGACTGAAGATCCTGGGATACTATAACTAAGTATCTTTCGTTTTCTAAATTTGTTGGTTTATTATAACAATTGCAGTTTTCTAAACTTGGAAAACTAACTTAAATTTATGGGTGTGCTCAATACTAACTATGACATGACTTGAGAGGAAAGCAGGATTTTGAACTAGAAGTGTTGCTTTGGTCTGGATCTTGAATGCTTGCATACTCCTCTATGCTCTACCTCCTCAGCTGAACACAAGTTAAATTTAGGACTTTCTGAAAGAGATGTTTTTTACGTAATGTTTAGTCCCGGTCCTGCAGAGACAGAAAAGTAGGTACAGTGGCTCAAATTGTACATAGAAATTCATGCTGATACTCATTACTCATCCATATAGAAGACAGCATGTATCATGCTGGGTGACACAGAACAGAGTTTTGCAAAGTCTGGCATCGTGACTGTATTGGCAAACACAAAAAGCAGGGCTTTGGGTGGAGCAGTGTGTGATATGATACTTTACAGCACTTCTGTCAAATGTGGTGCTTGGGATTTAATGCTCTCCAGCTGCTTGCTTTTTGAGGAAGCACAGTCTCTTTTAACGTAATATTTCTCCTTGCAGGAGCCCTTAGTTCTCTATATTTAAAGCTATCTGAGCCTCTTTTGATCATATGTAGCTTTTCTTCATCTTTTATGTGCAGTAGTGTAAGACTACACTAGTGTAAGACTACCAGAATATTAAATTGACAAGGCATGTTAGGACGTTATATATGTTTTATAGTTTGGTTGTTTTTTTTTTCAGTGAAACAGAGCCATGGAATTGTTTGTCTGTCAGTAACTTAGTAGTTTTTATTTGCAGTTTTCCACCAACATACAAATTATATGGTCAGTTGTATGCAGTCTTGCATATCAGTACCTCATAATTGATTAAAGTCACTTCATATTAATTCTCTAGATAACTTTAGTAGTCAGTAACTTAATAGTTTTTATTTGCAATTTTCCACCAACATAAAAATTATCTGGTCAGTTGTATGCAATCTTGCATGCCAGCACTTCAGAATTTATTAAAGTCACTTCATATTTTAATTCCTTAGGTATATTCCTCATAAGAGAGAGCCTTTGGAGTCATCTAATAATCAGAACCAAAAAGGAAAGGTCAAAACGAACTCTGAGAAACTCTGTACATGTATCAGAACTAATGTGATCTCTGTAATTTTCTGGAAAATACTGTATCTCTTTGGACACTTAATAGCCCAAAACTTCTGCTCCACAGTGTAACATTGGCACTGCCCTGAGCAAATAGCTCCTGAGCATTTAGGCTGAAGAATGACCTGAAGTGTTTCCCAGTTGGATGTGTTCGGAGACTAACTCCTTCTTTGACGCAGCTGTATATTGAAAGCCAGATCATTGAAATTGATTATGTGTTAATTTTAACTAAAATGTGCTAATGGGAAATGAATGAGGTCTTTAATGTGGCATGGAACAATGCTGGAAATAGGCAATCTAACATCGCTAAAACAATTTTTGCCTGAAGTGTAAAGAAGGGGAGCTGCAGGAGCAGCTAAGCTGCTAATCAGTTCTGAATAAATATGTATCTTTTTTTTTTCTTTTGAAATTGACCTTTTTTTTTTTTCCTCCCACAAATTTTAGAAGACTGAATTCTTCCATTCTGAAGAATAAGCATATAAATTTTTTTTTTTTTTTTCCAGTGACTCGGATGTTCACAGACTTCCTGATAACACTATCCCTCAGTTAAAATTCCAGTGAAGTCTCAGAGGAGTTGCTTGCCACAGCTGAGTGCAGCTACTAGGGCTTTGTTGGCAGCTCATTTCATATTAAAATATGATCACCTGCCTTCAGGGACAGTTTCAGATACATATCCTTTTCCATACTTCCAGTGTGTTCTGCTTGGGCATGGAAACCACACTGTGGACACCATTCTCCCACATAGGTGCTGTGAGAGATATGGCTTATTGTTAGCAGACTCTGGGGAGTGGAAGGAAGACACAATGCACAGTGTCTTTGCATTCCATTGAAATTAATAAAAGGACAAAAGATGCTTTAATTTATAGTCTGGAAGGATTATGTAGAGCTATATGGGCCAGTAGGATTCAGATGAACTATTGCCCTTTGAGCCTGGCATCAAAATATGTAACCATGCCTTTGGGCATCCCTTTGATTCTTTTGGTTTCCCAGGCTTAGCAGGGGATAGCGGGACTTGATGACTGGATGTAAGCGATAATAGTGTTCACTTGGCATCTGTGGATGTGGTTTATGTCCTTGACAGCCTTTTTTCTGGACAAGATTACTTTGAGCTGGCAGAATGCAAGAACCGTGCTCCTGAAGCTGGGTGAAGAAGTCCTGAGAGCCAGCCCGTGGGGAGAATGGGTTGTGGGAAGTTGGGTGGGTGAGAGAAGGAGATGGGAGGACTTGATGATGCCTGTCTTGTGGTGTCTGGAAAGCCAGAAGTAGCTCCCTGAGACAACTGTTGTACCTTGTAGGGGAGTGGTGTGAGCAGGCTGCCTTGGTGCTCAGGGTGCTTGGAGGTTCCCTTGGAGGTTTTTAGCTGTCATTTTGTCTGAAAAGCTGCATTTAAGTGTCTGAAAGAGAACAGTCGAGTTTCTGTAACTAACAAGGCCAAAGGAAGGGTGAATCATTTGCAAGGACTGGAAGTTGCTCGTTAAAATTATTTCTGGGTAGCTCAGATGATACTGAGATGATTGAGTTGAACAAAATGAGGGGGTTTGTCTGAGATTTACCAGCTGTGTGGGAATCCACCTGGAGAAGGCAGAGGAGGTGCTAGGTTAATTACTGGCCCTTCCAGGTGGCAGTTGTCCAGGACAGGTGTCTGTTCCAAAATGGGTTTGTTTCCCTGAGAAGTGATGCTATGATTTATCTATATCTGTTTATGTGTACTACTAAGAAATCATTATCTTCCTTCTCCTTCCTTGTTCTTATTTGGAAAAAACCCAAAGAGTTGGAGAAGTGTTGTAGAGGTGATGCTGTATTCTGGAAGCAGAATGAGTTGCAGTCCCTCTGGTGCCCTGTGGAAGTATTTTTCACAAAGCTGGACCATCAGCCAAAGAATTTTCATTGCCTGTGCTCATCACTCATAAGCTTCACCTTTGCAATTAGTTGATGCTCTTACAATTTCAAAAAAAAAACCGAAAGAAAAGGAAATGTTGTTTGTACTGTGTATGAGAAGTCCTTACAACTTCCTAAGGTCAATACTGATAGATCTATAGATATATATAGATATATATATATCTTAGATACACTAGTGAGCATTACTGGGCCCCTAAACTGGGATTGTGAGCAAGGTAGTTCAAATTAAGAAAAACATCATCAGGGTTTAAATCAGATCAGCTCCCTCCTTAAACAGTGTCATTTGTTTTCACACTTCTGCTCTACATAGTGGTTTTGACACCTTTGTTCAGCAGTAGCGTAGGAGTTCAGTGTATTTAGGTGGTCAATAATTCCAGCTGCTGCTGGTCTTCACAGAGAGATGTGATATCTCAATCTGACATCAGCTTTCTCACTGTTTTGAAATCTGTCAGATAATTTGTCACATTGAGTCCAAATTTATGAATCATAGCCGTTTCCTAGACAAGATTATTGCATATCCTCCCCATCTGTCTCTTAGTGTAGCAAAATGCTACCACTCAGCAATACCATGTTTGTTTTATTGAGTTACTGCAGTGCCTGCATTAAAGTCCTACTGGCTAACTATTTTGCTTGCTGTGTCTTCAGGACTCGGAAAAGGTGATGGGCTGTCAAAAATAGGAATTAGAGTTCTCTTTTTTTTCTCTTCCCCTCAGAAAGCAGGATTAGAAGGGGCAGCCTACCCTGTAGGTGTCCTGGCTACATTTTAATTTTGCTAATACATTCAGC